ATATATAGCAATTATCCAATGCAACGGTTGTATCATAGTATAATGCAACGACATTTCTAGAAAATCATGTTTGTGGTATTTGTATGACCCCAAATTTTGTACACACTCTCTTCATCTCAATAATCAATCCCTAAAAAAAATTCAATTTGAATCCTAAATATGGTCAAAATGAGTCCCGTCCAAAAATGATTATAGACCATTCACTTTGTGAATTTCAATATCTCAACCTTTATAAACTCAAAATTATTTTTTTATTTTTTAACATTGTTCATCTAATGATAATAAAGCCATCCAAAAAAAATAGAGATGAAAAAATCTTTCTAAGGCCTAGATCTAAGCATCTCACAAAAATGAACGGACTATGTTAATTGGGCTAAAAAATACGTTCTAGGTTGTGTTTTCAATTTTTTCTTTTTTTGTAATTGTTCATAAGAATAAAAAGAGTGTATATTTCAAAATTTCGATCAAACAAATGACCATCATATGGTTTTTTTAGGATGTTGCAGCATATTACTATACACATCATGTTACTATACAACGGTCGCATGAAATCATTGCTCATATATATGTGTGTGTGTCAAATCTAGGTCGGGTCAATCTAGACCCAGATCCGAATGGGGTCCAAGGTTTCAGACCCAGACCTGATCCACCGGGTCCAACCCAAACGTCGGGTCGACCTCACCCGATTGCCACTCTCCCTCTCTCTCTCTCATAGTACTTGTGCGCGAAACCATAAACCGTCAACATCAAGTGCTGTGGCCGTCAGCAGAAGGGCATATATACATGAAGAAAACGGTAATACACACAACAACTACGCCAACAAATGCATTCATTCACTCGTGCTATAATCACGACAATTGAAAAAAGAAAAAATTATAAAAAAAACTCAAACATTACACAAACTGCATTTTTTGTATCACTTTGTTCCCCATAATATATTTTCTATGCAAATACCCATGACCAATAAAAAATAAAAAAATACCTAAACTACCTTCCCTTACTTTTTTATCTTACCCACACCTCTCTCTCTTCTACCCCACTAAAATAGGCTCTAAGACCTTTCCCTCCTCTATCCCACTAAATAAGGGCTTCTCTCTCCTCTATCCTACCAAAATAGGAGCTCTAACACTTCTCTCTTCTATCCCATCAAAATAAGGGCCTCTCTCTCCTCTATCCTACCAAAATAGGGCTCCAACACCTCTCTCTCCCCTATCCCACCAAAATAAAGGCTCCAGCACTTACCTAGCAGTAGCAGTAGGGCTCCGACATGGTGCAAAGTGCAGTCCGGCCGTAGGGCTCTGGCACTATGTAAAATGCGGACCGGCAATAAGGCTCTGGCATTGTGTAAAGTGCAGTCCAAAATAGGGGCTCCGGCGCTGTGTGTGGTCTAGTAGTAGGCTTCTGGCACTGTGTAAAGTGCGGTTCGGCATGAGGGCTCGGGCATTGTGTAAAGTGCGGTTCGATAATTAAGCTTGCACTGTGTGCACTTGTAATGGACAGTCCTGCAATAGATGTTACTGGTTTCCAATGCACTATGTGGGCTCCGGCACAGTGTAAAATGCGGTCCGCGGTGGTTTGGCAGTTGCAAAGGGCGGTCTAACAGTTGCAATAGGAGGTCCGGCAGTAGATGTTACTAGTTTCCAATGCATTATGTGAAAGGTGTAAAAGGCGATCCAATAGTACCCAGTTTCAGTCCGACAGTTGTCTTAAGGCGGTCCGACACTTGTGCGCTCCGACATTGTGATGGTGTGCTCCGGCATTGTGATGGTGTGCTCTGGCAATGTGCTACTGGGTCCAAAAATCAACATTGGCCAAAATGATTTTTGTATACGGGAAAAGCACTTCCGTTTAAAAAAATTGAATTATCCTTGACGGTATTTGCATAGAAAATTTGTTTTAGAGAAAAAAATGAGAAAAACTTAAATGGGGTAAGTTGTATAGAAAGTATGGTAATAGGTTTTTTTTTTGTAAAGGTGTAGGTGGAATACAGATGCACTCATAGCTGTAGAGGTAAAGTGCACCTTCAAATTTTATCATGGTATATAATTTTGATAAAAAATATTCTTAAGTTTATCTCAAAATCTATTTTTATATTTAATTATAAAATTTTAAATTTTAAAAATGGTTAAAATCAAATAGATCTATAAATATATGAAAATCTTGAAAATGAACAGTGTAGATAATATGTTGTAAAATGTATTAATACTTAAATTTTTTTTTATTTTTCATGGTCATACATCTGGACGTCGAGATGATCAATCAAAGGGTTTTCCAACATTAAAACTACATTTTTGGATGGATTTTTTAGGTGCATACATAGTTCTACGTGATAAAGTTGCAACCTTATATGAACTTTTTCTTTTTTGTAATTTTCCCAAAAATAATTCAGGTCCTCCGTCAAAGTCCGTAAAGTATATTACATTTTGTTATCCTTTGGATAATGAAATTGCATCATGTTTATTCCGAATAAGATTATATCCCGAGACCACGTTCTTGAGCATCTGTGAGATGCAAACAAACCTGTAGTACGTGGCACAATCCAATAAACTAAGTCGACTTTATGTCAATTACATCGCTATCAATTTCATTTTTCTTTTGGCCTTTTCTCGGTGAAAAGGTTCGTTGTCGATTATAGCTGTGAACCCACAACTCCCTCTTCATTGACAAATGCCAAAGGAGATTCAATCAGGAGGCAATGATATATGAGTGCGAGAGATAGAGATGTAAATTCCCCACTAAGCTTTTTGATTGAATTTTGTCCCACATCACTAGGCTAATAAACTTCTAAATCAACATTATTAAATTAAAAAAAAAATTTCATAAAACACTGGAATCAGATGTTTTATAACTTAAAAACAAGTTTAGGGACTCTGTGCTAACTCTTAACATATAAGCAAGTCTTTTAGGATATTACAAGACAAAAGAGAGGCCTAATTATGCCCCAGTTTACTTGTTTGTGTTTACTACTACAACAGGTGCCAAACGACTCACATGTTAAAGTTGGGACTCAAGCTGTTGGCTCTATAGTTAGAACACTGTAGCAATTGCACTCAAAGTTCACCACAATTCATCTTCATAATATTCATGCATTGATGCATCCGGTTTCATCCAGGCTTACCATGAAATAATACAATGAAAAGCTTGAATTTTAAAAAAACCATAAAATATATCAATAAAAGGTCAAAAGATACAGTGAACTATGAGACAACTGCGGATACGCACGAAAAGTTAGCCTCCTTTTAGAAAACAGAAAATAAACGAAGAATTTATACATGAAGGAGAAAGCTCACAAGCTACTCAATAGACACATGCTTAGTAAAGCAACTTATACAAATGTACCTTTAGGGCGTTATGAATGAATTGGGCTGCAGCCACCAGCCCTTCCAGAGAAATTAATCTCACAGTACTGACTTTTTTAAGAATGAAACTCATCATAATTCCATTTCTTTCTTTTTTTTGGTCCTTTAGGAATAAATCTGTACTTATATTATTTAGTAACAGTTCTATTATCTATTGTTTGTTCTTTCTCATATGGCTAAAATGGATTCTCATATAACCAGTTCATTATCCAAATAAAAAGAATCGATGAAATGCTACTTCTGTCTGAAGTTTACAGTTATTAATACATGATCTCCTGGTAAGAACAAGAACCATGCTACTGAATAACAAGACCTGTGTTAATAAAATTTATGGCATTGATTTGCGATTGTAGGTAACAGATGATATGCTAGAGCTCGTGCAATACCCTAGATATCTGAGCTGCTTTTTCTCAAACCCGTGGTTTTTGGTCTGAACCCCACCGCACTTCCCTTTAATTTGATCTGTTGCAGATCAAATTAAAAGTAAGCACTCGTGGAAATAGAATCAATAAAGAAAATGAAACAGAGGGGGAAGATAGAGAGAAACTCAAAACTCATCTTATTCGTTTTGAGGATGTTATCAGTCATATGAGTGTTATACATATTTGGTGATATATTCAGTTCCTGACATAGTTTCAAATTCACGAAAAGTAAAACCTTGACGGTAATGGATTATCAATAGATTAAAAGGTCTTTATGAGATGGACAAGTATATTGATACTGTAAAAAAGAAGGCATTGTGTTAAAAAAGCACATACTAAAGAGAAATAAACTCTTCATAATGTTAGGCACAACCCCTACATTAAAGCTCCAATAAAATCCAGAGTGCTAAATGATGATTGTGGTGTAGACAGTGGTGATGGTGATGGTGATAGGGTTATGGACTGTTATAATAACTTAAATTTATATCCTTTTACTCAAAAAAATTTATATTTCTATCCTTTAGGATTCTTGTGGAAGTGCCAAAATAGGTGCTGAATGTATCGTAACCTTGCAATCGAGAGGGAAGGAAGGGGGGGGCCCTCCCAAATAGAATGCAAGTTTCCTCTAAGGCAAACAGGGTAGGGCGAACTATAAGCAGTTGACCGATGACACACTGTCACCTAAACTGCACTAGACTGACTTTCCCAAATGAATCCTTACCCCTAGTTTGGCTGCAACTCACATTCTAGTCAATATGTGGTTGGCATTAACAAAATGCTGCTCTTTTGCAACGCTGCTCATTTGCAAGTGGGATGAAAACTGATTTTTTTTAGGGTGTTTGAATCCTAAAGTGACATCTGAAGGGACCGCTTAGTTACAAATGGCCCTTCACCCATCCAGATAAGGCCCCAACTGGAAAGAAGTAGTTCATTTAACAAACCAAATGGTACACTTGGCTTCAATCAGCAGGAAATGAAGTTAAGGGAACTAATCTATACATTTTTCATAAAATCCAAGAACCAATTTCTCAGAGAAAATACTGCAGAAAAGGGCATATCTAGAAAAGACTTACCGATCTGAAAATTTTTCTCCGAGTTCAATAATATTGTGTGCAAGGATTTAAACAAGTGTGACAGCAGACTATACTCTTGAAAATCAGAGTGTGGTTTCCTGCACTAACACAAAAAATAAACCCTTAATTCAGTTCTCTCTCTCTCTCCCTCTCTCTCTCATGTATAGATGTGATCTTTCCATTACCAATTTGAATTAAGCCAACAAAATCAGAGACGATGCTAAGCTGAGATTGGAGTGTGCTGCCGATTCATCGAGACAAGTGTAGCTTCTATCTCTATTCACTTTTTTCCTCTTAGTTCATATCTATGCTTCTCTTTATCCCCATTTTCTTCGCGGCGCATACAAGTGACTTGAGTGTTTTGTTACAGCTTTCCATTTAACCAACTAAATTGAATAATCACCGAGACAACAATTTTACATCCCATAGATGAACAAAAATTTTCATCACTCCTATAGTCAATGGATCAATGATCTTTCATCCAAAATTCATGGCCCCATAGAGATCAAAATCTTCTGCAACTTTTCCTCCTTGTTTCCAATATCTTACCCTTTTGAAGCTTCAAGTAAGAACATTATCTTTTGTTCCTCTTTTCATAGCTTAGAGAGGGGCTTGAAGTGCCCTATGAATTTCTCTACATTTTTTTTGTATTCGTCAGCCATAATTATCCAACCACTTGTAGGAGTTATCAATTCAGTTCAGCCAATCACCATTGCAGTCCAGATACTGAATTTTCAATTAAAGCTTAGTACTTGTCCGAATGCTTCCATTCTTCCAGATACTGAATTTTCAATTAAAGCTTACCACTTGTCCGAATGCTTCATATCCCAGAAAACCCTTAGTTTCCATGATCCATTTTTTAATAAAGGGCCGTAACCCGGTGCTGGTATGGCCTAAGCAGGGTCCTCGGAGGGGTGGGCTAGAAACAGTCCTAAGTCCTGACCTTTGGCTTATGCACAAAGTGGCTGATCTCAGGACTCAAACCCACGTTACCCGAGCCTTTTACCGTCACACCAAGTGACAGCCCCTTGGATCCTTTTTTCGATACTGAACCAAATTCCCATCATCACTCACTATGCCAAAGAATTCTAGGAAGCAAAAATGAAAACGTATTTATTAAATATCAAGAATAAAATCTAGAACCAAAGCAGAGCAAGATAGAAAAAAAATTCTAAATTCCAACTTCTACAGAGTACAGACAATTCTCCTCTGCAAAAGCAACTGAAACTGGGTATCTGTTGCTGAATTTCAGCATCACAATTTCAATGAATCAATTAATCAAATAAAAAAATCATCTTCCCTGTTCTTCACCACGGAGTCAATTTTCCCTATGAACATTGCACTCTTCGGAGTAGAAATCATTGCTCTCAATCAACGATTTCACATATTCATAAGAAAATTCATTGATTTTGGGCTTATTTTTCTGAGATCTACCTGGTGATTCCGGTGATACATGTGGCTTAAAGCACAGGCAACAACTCTTGAAAGGATTTACAGGTGCAGAGATTTTCCTGTATAATTTCCTAAATCTTTTGAAAGGAGAACGTAATCTTATCCTCCTCCTAAGACCTTTGTTTTTCTTCTGCTCTCCGCTACTGCAAATTTCCTCGTCACCATCTCCATCTTCATCAGACATAAAACCCGAATTTACAGGCAGGATTTAACCCTGAAGAATACCATCAAATTATCCCAAAATTGAGAGAGAGAGAGAGTAGCTCTAAACGGTGAGTTTGAGAAGAGTTGCCTGTTTGGAGGGAGAGAATTTGAGGAAAGTAGCCTGTTTACAGAGAGTTTTTCAGGGATCAATCTGAGAGCTGCTTTTATTTTCGTTTTCAGAGCGCGTGTTTAAACATGAACACGATTCAGGTGACCAAGGGGAGCCACTTATTCCTATTCTATTATTTTTTATGTTTTACCGATAATTACCTGCCACGTATGCGACTAAATCTGACCGATACCAGAAGAATCCGGACGTACAACGTGTGAAGGTAGCAACTTGCTCAAACTTAAAGTTTAGGGCCGAGGCCCTAAACAATCAAAGTATAGCGTACCTTCGAATAGTGTCGATTAATGTGGTTTTAACATTGAAAATCTTTACCATAGTTTTAAAATATATTTTTATTTTTATTTATAAAATTTAAAGCTTTACAAAAATAGTATAGATCGATCAAATTTATGAAAACTTGATAATTTTGAAAATGGACGGTCCAAAAATGTGTTACAAGATACACCGTTTTAAATTTTTAAATTTATTTTTTTTTCATGTTCATATATCTTGATGTAGAGATGATTAATTTAAAGATATTTAAACATAAAAACAACCTTTTGTAGTAAAAATATTGAGATGGGTTCTAATTTGATTGTTTAAAACCTCGGCTCTCACAATATATTGAAGGGACTGACATCAGAACGAATCGTACTCAATCTTTTAAGATGTATTCCTTTATGCTGAAAATTGCGAACTTTGCTTTTTTTTTCTTTATTTTCAATGTTTCCTTTTTTTTCTCCTTGAGATTCACGGTTTTCGAGAAACGTGACAAGAGTTTGACGGTCCAAAACTTCATTTGGTTTGCATCATTATCGCAAAAATTGGCCTTTGGATACCCAATTTTCCGAATCAATCCCGAACTAGCAAGTAGGCACAAAGACCTAAAAATGTATTTATTTTTTTAGTATAGAGAAATAATAGAGAAACTTCTCTTATTCACGTAGAGACCTCCAAAAGATCAACATTAAATTTGATATAGATTTATAAGAAAGTCAAATTTCATATACATATAATAATTTTTTTAGAGATCCGTTTCAATTTTAATGATGATTATTTGGGGTCCTACACACATAGATAGAAGAGAGTCCCGTACGATCATTATTCTTTATTATAAAACCATTGTTTTTTGAACGATTTAAGGTTTTTAGACTTTATATATTTTGATTACATTTTATTTTATTTTTCTATTTTTTAATAGTCATCAAGTCGGCCCAAATGACAAGGAACTAGTGGGCAACCGGTTCAATCTACTTATCTAATTATTTAGTTTGTATATTCTATTAGTATTTGGGATCCAAATACTATTAAGATGGGTAAAAAACTAACATAGGATGCGTGTAGCTAAGATTAGGACTTGAGATGGATGAATAGCAAGACAAGAAATTATAGAATTTGAAATAAATAAAAATAAGAGAACTTAAGTATAACTTCAAATAGACAATAAGATAGGAAAAACAGATTTAGGTGGGTCAACCATGTGCAGCAGAGACAAACTATAACACCTGTTAGTAGATGCGATTTATTTAAAGTGAAAGGTTTTAAAAAAGCAATAAGACGTACCAAAAGAATATAAATAGAAGTAGTGAAAAAAGATATGGTAATTTTTTATCATACTGATAGTATAACCCTTGATAGAGAAGAATGGAAGAACATAATTCTTATAACCGACCCTAAACCATTGGGTCAAGGCCTTTTAGGATCCAAATAGAGTCGTAGTAACTCTTCAATATTGATGTCAACAGCTTACGTTTGAGGAGTGCCTTTTCTGTGCATATTCCATCGATTCTCAAGTGCTTTTGCCATTGGACAGATGGGGAGTTGCTAGGATACAGATTGATACCCAAAATTCTAGCATTGTATACTGTTTTTTTAAAAATCCAAAAATAAAAATAAGAAAAGTATAGAATGAGACTATTTACGTCTTAGATGTGAAGTTGGGTGGCTGCAACTATTCTATTGATCAAGCTCAAACTTCAAAAGAAATTTTTTCAAATTTTATGATACATTCAAGCTATCAAATTTCACATCTAATGATTGTAAGGAATAGTGGCCACCTTACATAAAAGGTAAATAATCCCATTGTATGTAATCCTATAAAAATAAAGGTATTTGATCATATGAGAAGCATATAGTTCCCAAACATATTGCTAACAACTCCTTTTAGACTACAAGAACTTTTTCCTTTATATATATATATGGAAAACACTACGCAATGCCCATTGGTGAAAATGAACAGTGATTTCACCTACCGCCATCACCTTCCAAAGTTCAACGCGTGGTCACTAATGTCCGGTAGTGTTTTATTTTTCATTTGTTTTCTACAAATCACAATGACTTGAAATTTGGCATGTGTATTTATAAAAAATATAGGAATCTTTAAAAAATATAGGAATATTTGAAAAATATAAAAACAATATTTACATGAAAAACATTGACCAAAATACCTCCAAAATATTTCGAGGGTATTTTGATCAATTTATTTTTTGTGAATAATTTTTTTTTATATTTTTATTAGATGTGCCTCAGTATGATGTACATACTCTCTAAATTTCAAGTCATTTCAATATGTAGAAAAACAATGAAAAATTAAACACTACCAGACAATTGTTACATCGCGATAAAATTTGGACGATGATGAGGGTAGCTGAAATCACTATTCATTCTTGCCTATAGGCGTTGAG